ATCAATCGCGACGAGCACAAGTATAATGATATAAGTCACTGTGTAAGACAGCATAGTCTCATTCTATCAAGCAACGAAGTTGTGTTCTCCAATTGTATTCACAGAACTGTATCAACTCAGTGTCACGATAGATCTGAAACATTTTTATGTTCTCATAAAATCTACATTTCATTTGTTTAAAATAAACTTTTCAAGAACTAGAAGATGACATTTAGACAATTTCACTTGTCTCTTCTCTGAAAAAAAAGTTGTTTTCAACCATAGTACTTGAAAACACAGCGTCATCCGTCAAAATAATTATATTCGAACACTAATACCATCTTTGAATGTCTTTATTCATCTCAAAAGAAGTGTTGCCAATTGACGATTCACTCATAAGCGAGCAACTTTATATGAATCACTACAGACAGATTCGTTGAGATGTTCTGATGAGATAATGTGGTATTTTCGAATGCACCCTCAAAACCAAGAAGCTCTCCATCACTAGAAGAATTTTATATTTCTTTTGAACAAGACTCGCTTTTTTGATAGAGAAATGCGGCTAAAGTTTTCAGTATGTCTCTAACATGGAAGAGCGTCTGGTTAATGTTTGAGTTCTGATAGCAGAAAAGAGTTATCTAAGACGGAGTCTGTAGAATACTATAGATGTACATACACTATCCTAAGATATTCTACCTAAAAATTGTTGATAGGTAAGTTTTCTTGTGATCTGACATTGCCATACGGAAAATTGAGACTTAAAACATCGGTCGTTTTTTTCCTCTTCTGGCTCAGGTAGAAAACTTGCGATAGATACCTATTAACAAGTAAACTTCAGTTTACTAGATCCTAATGACATAAACTTGATTAAACTAAACTTTGCGAAGAAAGTTTGATATGCTTTATTTGTTTGACCAGTTGTTTCTGTGAACGTCGGGAATTCGTAAGTGAGTTTTTAACAATCCTGTTTTCAATTATTCTATTCTGTTTTCATCATTATGATAATACGATAATCTATTATTAATAATAATCTAGAACAGAAGATGAACATTGATCTCTTTAAATCAATTCAGTAAATAATGACTCCATTAAATAAAGAACCTCTATTAGTTATCAAGGAGCTGAAAATACACTCATCGAGTACAGAACTTTGTAGAACTTTATATAGATAAGAATAGTCTAAATAACCGCTGACGAAATCATGCTCAACATGTTCTGTATTCATTCACATGTTCAATGAGAATTATCTTCCATTGTTACTGAAGCAGTATTAAATGTTTCTCCGGTCATATGAACTGAAATGTGATCAAAATGGGGTGCATCTTCAATATTCACATTACTCCAATTTGAAAGAAATCTATGAATTTAACGAAGAGTGAAGATTGTGAGTGTAAACATCTGCACATAATCCTATATATGTCTAAACATTTTTGTGAATTGTTTGAACTCAAGTAAAAGCTTTTAGGGCAACTAGATGAGAAAAAACTTCTGTAGTGTTCTATGTATCATTTGCTGCAGGATAATA